AGGTTTAGCTAAAAATTGCAATAACTTAACCCAGTAACGGAATGTAATAATATTTAATACATTACTTTTTGCATGTCACAATGATTTACCGGTGTTTTTATTTTAAAACTTCTATTTCAAATGTATCCACATATACATAGCTCCCTTTTTACTTCCGACTTTATCCTGAACTATAGAGGCAAATAATATGATTACAATGAAATACATATAAACATATGAATAAAAGAGCTGTCGGTAGGGACAGCACGGCTCGACCTGATTCAAGTTGCTTGATAGTAAAAGAGCCTTGATAATTTTAAATTTTTTCAAGTTCACAAAAGGGCTAATTTTTTTTTATAAATTCATGTTATAGGCCTTAGAGAGAGTCAATTATACGTAAATTGGCTTGACTATTCGGAGGTAATGTCACAAAGGGGTTTTTATTGAGTATAATAATACCTGATTACCTAATGAATAACATAAATTTGACAGAAAAAGGTACAAAGGCTTGTTATTAAGATGTTTTATAAAGTAAATCATGCCTTTATTATTATGAAATGCATTATAAAATTGGTCCCAAAACAGGCACAAACCCTTCAGTAGTTTGGACGATAAAAAACACTTACAAGCAAAAACTTTTCCCATGAATTTATCTTAAGTTGGGAAAAAGGGGAGAAAAATCAGCCTAAATGCAAAATAGAATTATGGATCTTTGTCAGTACCTACACTTTACTACCTAAATGCATATGGTGAATTTAAATAAAATTTTTAATAGTTATTGGAGATATGTTTAAACTTGCATGTTTAAAATTAAACCAGGTGACTAATTCAGAAAAAGGGATATGAATCCAGCCTTAATGCAAGATAGAGTTATGGAAATTGGTCAGTGACATACAATTAATTGCCCCCAATTATGACCCTAAAGGCATGTGTAAATTTCAAGTAAATAATCTTTGGGAAGACCTTTAACCCTTTAACCAAAAAATTTCTAAGTTTTCAAAGGGGCAAATAATTTCTTAATTGGCCAGTTATGCAATTTTCAAACTGATGTACCGATTGTTACTATAAAAAGTATTTTAAAATTTCAATTGAATATCTCAAGCAATAAATTGAGATAATTTGACTTTTACAAAAAAAACTTTAACCAAAATTTCCCAAGTTACAAAGGGGCATAAAATCTGTCAAATTGTAGGCGAAGAGTTAATCCAACTTGTCCAATCGATGAACCTTGTTACTGAATAAAATAAGTATTGTAAGTTTCAATTGAATATTCAAACCAGTAATGGAGTATTTGACTTTAAAAAAAAACTTTTAACCAAATTTCTTAAGTTAAAAAAGGGGGGGATTATTTTGGTCAATATTTATGCAGAGTTATCCAACTTTGCCTCAATCTGATGTACCTTTGTTACTATTTAAATAAGTAAATTGTAAGTTTCAATTGAATATCTTCAAGCAATAACTGAGATTATTTGCCCTTTAGCCAAAAAACTTTAAACAAAATTTCTAAGTTTAAAAAGGGCATAATTCTGTCAATATTGTAGCAGAGTTATCAACTTGTCATTCAGATGTACCTTGTACTATAATAAGTATTGTAAGTTTCAATTGAATCTATCTCAAGTAATAATTGAGAAATTTGACTTTAGAAAAAACTTTAACCAACGCAGACGCAGACGCGGACGCTGACGCCGACGCCGACGCCGGGGCGACTACAATAGCTCTCATATTCTTCGAATAGTCGAGCTAAAAAATAAAACATTAAATACAGAAATAAAAGTATAATTGTTCAAACTATCATTTGGAAAGATAACAATATTAAACTATTAAATATCTCCTTAGCTACAAAATGTTTGGATTTTAAATTTTGAGGACAGTGTCCAGTCATACGACAACTTTTCAATTTTAACGCGGAAGTCACTCATATCCGTATCTGGGCATTATTTTACACACAGAATGGACCCCATGCACAACATATTGTAAGAAGAAGAATACCTTGTTAATACTTGTGCTGCTACCACTGGAATCATTAGATCCATATGAGAGTTTGCTCCCCTGTCTCTTTATAACACCAGGTCCATTAGGAGATTGATATGATAGTCTGTCTACATCATCTGTATCTATATCATAATATAAAAGCATTAGGAGATTGATATGATAACCTGTCTATATCATCTGTATCTATATCATAATATAAAACATACAGGTTATACTTTAAATTCAATCAACATCATGTTGACAAGTGGCAAAATGATTGATCTTTCATTACATGGACTTTAGAGTCATATAAAACTTTCAACTCTATTTGTTCAACACTCGAATGTACAAGAAAGCAAAAGTGTGGATGTTCTCTAAAATGCAACATCATTATTATTTGTGGGGAACTAATTTTTGTGGCTTTCTAAGTTAAATCAATCAACGAATTGATGATCATATGAAATTTGATTATTTACATTTTACCTTTTGGAAAAATAAACAGTCCCCACAAACAAGTTCTTTGTGACAAAACCTAAACATTTCATGACCATGAAATTAAGTGAATTTACAGTAACTGGTTTGTTTTCATATATTCAGGAGTATTGCAATTAGTTGTAACAAATAAACATTATGTGTTTTACCATTGACAATACTGAAATTAATAAAAATTTAACAAAAAATTTTGTATGAAATTTACAGTATTAGTAAAAGTTCTTTAAGTATATGAGGAATATATCTTACTGTGTCTGGGTGAAGGTGTAGATTTAAGAGGTGATATTACATCATTGTTGAAACCAGTTGGTTTTTCTGAGTCTATACATTTCAAGCTTGGACCAGACTGCTCTGAGAAAAGCCTGAAAAAAGATCAACGAATTATCTTAATCTTAACAATAGAGAATATTATAAACTTTAATGTTCTGCACACAGAAATTCAAAATGAACAAATAATATTTTGTTTTAAAGGGCTTATGCATGGCTAATGCTTGATGAACAAGGCTTTGATAACAATATCATATACACTAAATGCCTACTTTGATTAAGTGTCCACAAAAATACTATCAAAAGCGTTCAAACTGTAAAGTATTTCTAAAATACCTTAACCATGTTCTATCAAATAAGTGCTTAACAATGCACTAAACATAACTTTCCTTACAATCAGGGTTTTAACTATTGGACTATGTGACTAGTAACAAATGTAGCTTTCCTGATAATATTGATAATCCTTTAAATTAACAACATAGAATTCCAAATTCAAAGCATGAAAAGCGCATCATAGCACCAGCTGTCAATAGAACGTTAATGTAACATACCTTTCATTGCACTGTAATTCTATATCTGTATCATCAAGATCTAGCTGGGCTAATGTTGCCCGCGACTGATCCAATAGAAACTTGTCTACCGGCTGTCTACCTGACACAGATCTTGAATAACTGCCAGCTTCAAATAATGTACATAGGAGAAAATGCCTCTGTAAAGGGAAAACAAAGACATTAATTTTTACATCATTGATAACACATATACATGCTACTATCATGATATGTCAATGTACACACCAATATTTTATTATAGAAAATGTCAATATCAAAACATGTATATAGTGTGAACTCATTCACCAAAACATGATTACTTGAAATAAATTGGAGTCTAAAGTGAAGAATACTTGTGGTCAAAGCCTTTTTCGTCACACAACTTGGTTTAAATTTGATAAAATCACACAATTTTTGTTAAGAAGACTACATAGCTGGCATAAAAACTACATAACTGTAGTCTTTCACAAGCACCTACTTGTTCTACAGTTTCTTTCACTATCGATAAAACTGTGGACAGTCATCATATAACCTCTTTTTTGTTTAACTGATTGTGTGTTGTATGTCTTAACTTAAGAAAAACATGAAGGAAACTAGATATGTGTTCATACAGCACAGATGCCCAACTAACCAGCCCGCAGCGCTCAATCGGTTATAGCGCGAGACTTGTGATCTCGACATTGTGGGTTCGATTCTTGGGCTGGCCAACTAAAACTACTAATCAGTCTTTCAGATGAGACTTTAGAGTGAGGTCCAGTGTATGGGTGCTTAAACACTTGGCACGGTAAAGAAACAGGAGAAGCTTCTGGAATTAGAGCATCTTTCTGTATCTGAAATTGCACTATCCTCCAAAATCTAAAATGACTAATACTCTTCTGGGGGACTCGCCCATATGGGCAACCGGAGGCGAGAATAAATAAACGCAAATACACACACAAAGATGCCCGACTGTTTTGTTGACAGATGGACAGCGTGACAGACAAGACAAGGGCAAATTTATATGCTCCCCACCAACCTCCCTCAAGTTAGAGCCTAAAGAATTGAGGAAAAAAGGTGTAATAAGTATAACATACCATGCTAACAACAAGTAAGAACCATCTCCCCTGTGGCTCTCTGTAACCAGGGTTATCTTTCTTTGTAGATTGACAGAATCGTGTAGGATAAACCTCCCTCCAGATGACAAGGTTGTCTACAGATTGTTTACTGACTAGATGTAGGATACAGTGATACTTGAGAAATAAATTAACATCTTGTAAATCTTCTCTACACAGGTGTGAACATAATAAATAATCCTGAAATGAAACCGATATTTTGATTAAATGAATTAAGATTATAAATCTACCAGACAAAGCTGTAACTTTTCTCAGTCCTCGAAATTAACATTTTGAAGTTACTGGCCATTCGAACCAGTAACATTTGAGAAGTTACTCGCCCGAAACCAACTTTATATGTTTTTTTCTTATCTTTAATTCTGAAGGTAAATAAAAGAAACAAAAGGAAATCCAATACAAGACTTGTGTCATAATTTATTTTATTGTTATTCCCTGCTGTATATGAAAATCATTTTTCATGGTTACTACGATACGATACTTGACAATGGAAAACGGAACGTAAACAAAGTTGGTTCCCAATAAATTACTCGCTTTACATGGCTAATGGAAGTAAGCCAAGAAACAGTAGTGACATGGCAAAAAGTGCGCTGTTGAACACCACTATAATGAATTTCGCGATCGGAAATTTTACTCGCAAGCCGCCCAAATTTAATATTTACTCGCCAGGGCGATCTGGCGAGTGCTAATTTCGAAGGCTGTTTTCTTACATTTTAGTGAAACCATTCAAACTGACTCAGACTTAATAATTTCTTCTTCAGTCAAATCATTAGGAATTTAACAAGATCACTGCATGGCATGTTAATGCTCCTCTGTTAAAAATTCTATGTTATAAAAGGGTATAACTCCTAAAATATTGCTTTCTGAATGATTCCCCTTGTCTAACAATTGCACCATGTCATAATACGCAAGTATTACAAGTTTTATGTTAAAAATTGTTTAAAATGTTTGAATAATGGGCTACATCAAAGTTTTTGCAAGATGCTGCAACAGCAATCATAATTACTCATCTTTTTCTTCAAAATAGACTAGCTAATAATGAAATATCATTCATTTTTTTTCCTAATAAACCATATAAAAAGAAACATTTACCCTATAAAACATACAGGACCCAAGAATGCCATATTTTCTCCTTTCATCAGGGTCTACTTCTTCCTACAAACACATAAATATAACATATAACATCTTGAACTTGTGCAAATGTATTGCTTCAATAGGACAAGAAAATATTGGCATAAATGATTTTTTGCAAACATTAAAATACTGTCACATTGACTGATAACTTGTATTCAAAGATTGAAAATTAAAGCACATTGAAATCTGTTCTCCTAAAATAGAAAGACTACTCTTGCTTATCAATGTCACAGTAGTGCTTGAAATTACTATCTGATTTTTTAACTATTCTCTATGCCATTACAATATGTCAGGTGTTGAAAACAATACAAAGAACCAATCTAAATAACAGTTAATAAAAATTCGATCTTTATTCAATACATATTCAATGATCTTCAAATTTTACAGAGAAAATTAAAATCTCTCTTAATCTGAAAAGATGTACAATAAACACGGCAATCAGGCTTACTTCTTTTCTATTCTTTCACCTGACTAATAATGGAGCTCAGATAAAAATAAATGTTCAGTAATATGAAACAAAAACTTACAAATTCAGAGAAATCTTGAGCTTCATATTCATTTAAAATCTCATCACAGGACATCTGAAAACAAATTATTAGGCTGCTTAGAGCATTGGTGATATAAAGTTGACTGACAAGTAATGCAGTAGAATATGTTAGATTATTACAACCCCTTATCATTAGAAACTGTTTCTTGCAGAGTCATTTGACTGAAGGTTGAGTTTTTTTCCATATCTACAGATACTGCTTAAATCATTAAAGACTATAATCTTAAGTTTTAAATGGCCAAAAGTAAAATTAAGCGATTTTTTTCCAGCATTGCAGGAAAGATTGCAGGTCTTGTCCCTTTTGGAAAAGAAACTTGTGTCATTACATTGTGAAAGGGAACACACAAAAAGAAATATTCTTGATGATAACTTTGTTTCACATGAAAATAAGTGAACTTAATTTTGTTCTTTATACATGTATATCAGGAATTACAGACAGTAATTTCAAGGGGTTAAAACCTTATTTTTAAAAGAGCATGCCGTTTATTGTTTACAATTACATATTTAATGCTTACTTGCTTTAGCACTGAGTCAATCAAATTTTAGTTAAATAGTCATTTAATAACATAGAAGCACAAGCCCTATTTAATATCTTATATTTCATATGTTAAGAGGTTTAAAGGCACTCACCTTTTCATCTGAAGAGAGCCGTAACCACCTGACACCTGTTAGTGTATCTAGCAGTACTGGCTCTAGTGGGTTACAGTAAGGTATCGCCTGAGTTTGAACCCCTGTATGTAACACTCTATACATTGTTAAACTGACCAGCTCATCTAAATGACAGTGTAATTCTCTGTCTCTAAATACCCTGAAAGAAAATGTAACTTTTTCATTAAAATATAATTTATAATACTGCACTTCTGTAACATTGTTTTTCATTGAATAATTGTGACATTTATATAATCTATCACACAGCTGCAGTAGATTTATGATGTTACTTCCCTTTTCTCTAGTAAAGGAAGTTTGCAGTATTGTAAATCCAATATAAAATTCTTGACAGAAAATTTGCAATATAACCCTCACCTTACAGGTCTGGTTATATAATACAAACAAATGTTTAAATAGGGCCTTATAATACTGCACGTTTGTAATGTCATTTTTCACTGGATAATCGTGACATTTACATAGTTTTATATACACAGCTGCTGTCGATTTATGAAGATATCTTACTTATTTCTCCACAAAATGATGCTTGCCTAGCAGCTGGGGTTATATTTACAAACAGCCATTTATACAGGGCCATATAACCTGTCAACAATCTTTAAAACTAATAATATAGTGATATTCCCTTTCAAAAATCATTGTGAAAGTAGGTCTGATTACTATAACCACCGATCACTAGGTGTTAGTAGGACAGCATGTTCAACTTTCTCAGTATAAAAATTAAAATACAGGAATATAAAAATTAATGGTCAAAAGATAACAATCATTATTGATAGCAAGACAGAAAACAAAGCTGTCGGTAGGACAGGAACGTTTA